AGGTAAGTAAAAAGTGTTCTGTAGTGAAAAAGTAGCTGCCTGCTGTCATTGGCTGGATGTCGAGTCGGCCGACTCCTCCAGATATTTGGCATGTTAGATATCTGGCTGGCATCGGCGATGTGTCAGCAATGTGTCGGGGAGCTATTTTGATGCGTCGTTGAGTAGTTCATAACAACTGGTGACCACAGATCAATCACTGATTTACCACAGATCACAGCCCGACGGTCGCCAAGCTCTCCAACTGGCAAATCGGGCTTAGTGTGAACTAGGCTTTAGCAACGGAGTGAAGCATCTCACTTCTGTTTGATCTTTATTGGGAGTTGCACAAGTGCACTAGCAAGTTAAGGAATACTAGCCAATCAGAAGCAGAGTAAGGCGGTCCCGACAAGCCAGTAAACACAGCTGCGGTTCAGCCATATTTGTTCCTGAACCAGCTTCGCAACCTAGACTGGACCAAGAGTTTTAGAGTGGGGAGTTATTCATTTGTAACAAATGATCAAATGATCACTCATACGTAACATTTTAACTGTCGCTACATCACAATAACAACTTTATGTCTACTGATGGGTATGTAACGTTATTTTAATTTCATATTTAGGCGGGCCACACTAGCCTAGACGAGCATTAAGACAGGTGTTACAAAGTGACTCAGATAGGTTACAAAAGTAAAGGCTGGACAACAACTGAGCTGTTTCCAGGCAGTTCAGGAGCAGTGTTTTCTGTGGGAGATGGTAACTCCCTTTGGTGTGGGCTTTTTTGTACTTTACTTACTTACAAACTTATTACATACACAATGAAGATAAACGGAAAGGGAAAGGAATGGGAAAAAGCCAAAAAGCACAATATGACCTCTTTAAGTAGTTTTTTTGCCTTGAGTTATCCAAGTGAATTTGACTGTTGTCTGTTTTTATTTGTACCAAACAGCCAATGTGACACTTGTACAGACATTAGTAGTAGCTAGCAACTTGACCTATACGACCCTATGTGTGCGCATGTTTGTGTTCATCTCCTCATCTCTAAAAAAGACAAGTGTTTCTGCTAGTAAAATGTGTCAGGAAGCTGTAGAAGGCAAGCTCTGCCCCGAACAACATCACTCTTACAGCTGTGTGTTTCTTAAATATCCAGAACAGAGCCGGTGAGTAAAATATGATCATAACCAATAGACAAACATAGAAAGGTTAACACCTAGGTTGATAAATACGGGAATTTCCCTGGTAGACGGTAAAGATTTCATTTTAGCCGTATATTTATGAAGCATAGTTATATCGATATAATCCATCTGTGCCAGTGAGTTCTGGGCAGTTGCGTGAATGTTAAAATGCTGAATGCTGGGGAGCTTTTGTTTCATAAAGGGGCTTGTGTATATCTGCCTATCTGTATTTGTCCTCTCAGGCTTCAGCTCTTTTGGAGGTGTTGGAACATCCTGAACCTGGCTGCCAACTTCCTCTTTCATCACACAGCAGTCATGGTGTGGCATAGTTTGAGGTGAACAGAGAGCACTGCCGCATGAAACCACGCAGAGCAAAGAAAGGCACATTAGGAGATCCACCATGTCAACATGACCTGCAGCCCAGCCCCACATTATTATTCTGTTTGTCAAACCATTTACACACCTGCTGGGAGCTGGAAGAACACCCTACTGCAGATACAGACTGACAGAAACCTGAGCATGTAAAGTACACAAGCAAACACACAAAGCCACATGTGCAAAAAGGGTGAACACACGTACACGACAATGGCATCAAACGTAAAGAAGCCAGGTGCAACTCCTTATCATTTTATACAATAGAGAACACACAAAGGCAATGAATGCTTGGTCTTCGATAAACAGAAAACTCTAAATAGAACAAAATGAGGATGTATGCAGCTGAACTACATATAGCATTTTTCCCGCAGAAGCAAAAATTACAGGCTATATTTTGGGAACTGATTGGAGTCTGAAGAGCAGAGTGTGGTTTAATGCTATAGCTTGGTCTTGAAGCAACACGCAAGGATTACGCAGGGTACGAGTCGGGCTGGTGGCTCAGCTTGGTCATATCTTCAGGACAATAACCAACAAACAACAAAGAGATTTTATGATCAACCTGTGAGCCCTTTTGCCCCTTGATCGTGTACATGACAGAAGTGTTATGTGCTGCAGGTTCCAAGGCCCTCTACTTTTAAGTCCTCCAAATTAAATGACAAATATGTTTTTTGTCAATTCCAACACAACATACATGAACAATTTCTGATCTGACACCCAGATCAGCAGGACATCATAATTTGCCTCCCATTCATGGTCCCCAGAGAACACATCCTAATTCTCTGGAGATCCCCTGATGTTTTATCTAGCGAGATCTGAGATTTTTGGTTTTAAGGGAAATATCTCCAAGGAATATGGGATGGATTGCCATGAAATATTGGACAGATTTAATAAACCCAGAGGATAAACCCTAATAACCTTTTCTCTTGCGCAATCAGCAGGTCAAAGTTTTCATTTATATTGCAAAATATCCATGACTTTGGTGATCCCCTGATTTTTGGTGTAGCGCCACCATTGCTTGACTTTTGTAGTTTTGAGGAAAACCCCAAGTTCCTCCATAAGAGGTTTTGGGTTGCTAATAAAAGTCAAGCAATGTTTTCCTTTACTTTTACAGATTTTAATTCTCATAGTCGCTTGAGAGCCTTGTTAGAAAAACCTTTAACATGTTGTTTTATGCATTTGGAAAACAACACATGCTTGTTCTTGAGAGGATAGGCAGTACATGGTATATGCTGTAACTATAAGGCTTCAGAGTTATTTGACCTTCTCCTCAATCTTTGCTTATCAGTGCAGTTCCAGACTTCTCAGATGAATGAAATATATGTCAATTTGTCAAACATACTGAGTGACAGGCACATTTCTCCATTTTAAATGTCACTACGCTTCATCCCTCACTGCATTGCCTCAATACAAAGGTCATGTTGTTCATCAGGGACAACAAGCACCTGTGATTGTTTTGAAGGACACTGATGAGTGGGATCTTGTGTGTGTGTGTGTGTGTGTGTGTGTGTTATGGCTGTATGCACACCCAGACGGACACACATTTATGGATTACTTCATACTGCTTGAGTGAACAGTGATGCAAGCCACAAACCTTTTTTCATAGTGCTGAGTGAGGTCTTTGCGTCAGACTAGAAGAAGCCTTGGCCCATTTTTAAATAAATAACGACTTCAAACCTCTGGGTCTGAAATATTCATCATAAAAATCACACAGAGTTACTAAACTGCATTCCACACTGCTCTGCATTGAGGGTGCCAGCTTTAGCACAGTTCTTTCATACTCCACTGCAGATTGTGTTGATGTGTTTGAATGTTGCCTTTCATTAAAAGAAGTACAGCATTTAGATGGCGGTGACGGTGAATAGAGAGACACTAAAAACTAATACAGTATATAAAACCCCATCACCCCATGTTGGTGTGATCCTGTGTCAGTGTGTTTAGTGTCTAATGCACAAAGAGTTAAAGATTCAGCTCTGGGGAGGGATTACCACAAGCTCAAACTCACACTCAGATCACAGGGAGACTTGATCAGGGGTAAAATCAAGCAAACAAAAATGAAGTAGTCAAATATTTAGTCAACACACATGCACTTGGAACAAGGTCATTGTAGTTCATCAAATTTAAGACCAGATGTAAGGATTAGTACAGATAAGCTGTCACGATACAATGTTGAAACTGAAAATGTGAAAATAACATGGTAACATCAAGTCTACAACTTCATAAAACATTGATAAAAATCTGCATTTTAGTCTCATAATATATATCCAGGACAGGATGTGCATCTTATGAGGCTAATTCTGCAACAATGTCCCTATTATGCATTTCATTTAATAAAGCTGAGCAAATTGAACAGCTCTTTCTGTATTTTTTTGCTGTGAAAAACAAAATAATTAAACTGACCGTGCAATGCTTTTTACAAAACATAATTGAAACTTAATCTGCATATATATAAAAACACATCAATTTTAATCTCAAATCAAGTCAAAGTACATTTTGTTGCATCATTTATTTTATTATATTTTAAATATTTTAACAGGTTTGGTACAGAGCTTTTGATCCTATTAAAGCTTTTTAGGGAAGGTCCACGGTATAAGCATATGGTTTTTTGACTTTTTTGTAGTTCTTTAAATGCTATTTTGTGTATGTGCAAATCCACAGACAGTCATGTGTGTATATGTGCGTGTCTCTCATGCCAGTGTCAGAGCCAGGTGTGAAAAGTGAGTGAATAACAGCAGGGAAGTAGACTGGTAAGTAAAGACTTGCTAGTAAAGCCTGTTACAGGCCTTGGACAAAATTCACAAATTGAGACTGAGAGGTGTCTGATTTCCTGATTCTGTTTCATAAAGAAGCTTGTTGATAAGGCAGGGGATTGTATTGATGCATGACATGGAGACTTGTATCCTGTCAATGGTGAGTGTGCACACACTTACACACAGAAACTGAGATGACTGATCAAATAATGCACCAAGTTAGATTGAACTATAATTGAATGTGATGACTTTTCGGGTGGAACGTTGACTAGATAAAAAATATGGCACTTAATCTTATCTTTCTCCATCTTTGGCTATGTTCTGTCCTGTGTGCATGCACGTGTGTGTGTGGGTGAGGGGTTGCAGAGTGAGACAGCCAGAAATTGTCAATGGGATACTCCTGTCTTTGTCTTTTCTTGTTTTGGAGTGAAAGCGAAATAAGAATAATTGTGATAACTGTGGGATTCGTGAACACATAGATGATTTGCTATCCATCCTGTACAGATTTGTCCAAAGAGGGCAACCCTTCCCTCACGTGCTGGTCTTTTTCTAATCATCATGACTACATGACAAAGTAAAATCATCAAGACGCATCAAAGTTGGAGACAGTGGCACATGCAGCCAAAACTTTGTGCCAGAGATGAGTGGAAGATGAATGTTAAGTGTAGAAAGCAAATCAATCGGATCAATAGGAGCAAAGAGAGGAAAGCTTTCTGATGTTGTCTTACCCAAGATCATCCTGTATCCTTCCACTGTCAACTTCTCTTTCCCACGTTTTCTTCTCGCTTGACTCTTCTCTCCCTTGATCAGCTACTGATGTGACTCAAACCTTAAGCGCCCACCTATCTGCCTCTCAAAACTCAATGTGGAAAAGACATCCGACATCACAGCCTTCACTTTGTATCCCTACGCTGCGTCTCTTCTGTTCCGCTTGTCCACATGTGATGCTTTTCCTTCAGATCTCGACACACGTCTCTTGTTCAGCCAGAACAAGGAGGAGCACAGCAGTAGCCCTGACTGTAACACAACATGCACTCAATCTACTGCAAAGGAAGCCTGTAATTTATTCACTGTTATATATTCACTTCAGCAGGAGGAACACCAGAGAATACAGCTGAGATGGAGCCCTGCCTCACTAGAGGAACCTCTGCACCACAGCATGCGTGTCTCTCCCTTCCTCACTCGCTCGCTCTCTCTCTCTCTCATATTTTGGGGTTGGGTATAACCTAAAGGCACCTTGCATTCCTGAGCCACGATTGGCTGGAGGCTCAGCCAATGAGAGCAGTCGGTGCTGAGTGTTTTCTCGGGGTGTTTGAATCAGGAGGCAGAGTGATAATGCTGCTGTCGATTCTGCTCTCCCTTTCCCTTTGTCTCCCTTTTCTGCTGTTTACTATTGACGATTTTCTCCCTCTCCTTGTCTCACTTCATACTCGGTCTCGTTCTTCACTCTGGTGGCATCTGAAACATGTCTTGAGCACCTTAATGTCCGCCCTCACAACACCCTCCCCCTCTATGATGTTAGATATCTGCTCTGGTCTCCCTTTCTACCTGTCGGCTGGAGAGTTGGGTGTTTACACAAAGAGCAGTGGTACATTTTGAAAATGCTGACCAAGTTCACGCTGTAGTTGCCATTCCAGACAACAGCGTGAACAGAACAAAAAGAAAAGCAGAAACAGAGGGGCGACAGAGACTGACAGCGCGAGAGACTCGATGAAGCGTTGGAGGGAGGGGAGGAGAGATTGAGGTTAACGCAGACTGACTGGGGATGAAAGAGTAAGGTGAGGAAATGTGGAAGATGTGTTGGAACAGCAGGATGGAGGAGGACGCTGACAGCTGTGTGACAGGCAGAGTGCTGAATGAGCTCAAAAACTGAGCTTACTGCACGCATGTCTGTATCAACATTTACCAGAATTATGTGTTTAAAAGGGGAACGCAGCGCTTATGTGTATTCAAGACTTCATGAAACTCTTTCCCACATGATCAGGGGGCACTGTCACATGACCTCCAGCTTTAGGCAATATGAAGTGATGTGTTCTACATAATTTAATTTAAAACACATGAAATCAGGTAATGTTGTGTGTGTGTGTTTAAGCTTGTGCTAACCCAGGACAGGGTTTTTGTGCGTGTATATGTGTGTGTGTGTGTGTGTGTGTGTGTGTGTGTGTGTGTGTGAGTGTGTGTGTGTGTGTGTGTGAGATAGGGTTTCCTCATTAGTGGAGGCAGGCTGAATAATGCAGATAGGTGTATTGTTGTGGCCAATGGGCCAGGTGCTAATGTGGCTGTCTGAGGGTGGAGGGTCAGACACAGCATGACTTTAATGGATGTCACCATGGGAAACTGAAACCTGACCACTGGACTCGGGTGACACACCATCCTGCATGTGTGTGTGTGTGTGTGTGTTAGTGTCTCTTGCATCCCGTATGGTAAAGCATTAAGTTCCTCACTTATTAAAACACTTGCTGGTTCTCAGGGTCGAAAGACGTTATTTCCACGCTGATAGAATGCAGTACACATAATAGCATGCTCTCTGGTGAACCATGTTTTGCACAGTAAATACAGGGCATGTACAGCAAAGGTGGCGTTACATTCCTCTTGTCATGCAAAAATATACTTTTCTTTTGCATGAAAAAATATCCACAAAATATATAGATGTAATGATTCAAGTTTGTATCAGGGTTGTAAGCCGCATGCAGTGCAGGCGGTAGGCCTATGTGTGTGTGTGTGTGTGTGTGTGTGTGTGTGTGTGTATGTGCGTGATTATGTGCATGTGACATCAAATATCCTATCATTCCCTCATACCGCCCAGGGAGGCCATAACTGTGTCGACAGGCTTGTTGAGCTCTAATTTTAGCCTGTGATTGTTAGCGGTGAGTCCTGTGGAGTCCCGCCAACGTTTAATGAAATCTTCATTGGATGTGTTACACCAATGAAACGGCCTTAAGCACATGATAAACCAGCCACTTACGGGTTAAAGTGTTCAAACAGACAAAGATGACGAGATGAAAGCATCTTGCGAAACATTCAAGTTTTCTCACATAACTCATTCATTTTCTTTCCTGCGTGCAGAATTAATTTTTAATTTATGCACGAGAAACCCTGTTGACTGCTTACAATATTATAATTCAGTGTTGTTACTGATTTTGCTGTTTGTGCCTTGTGGTTTTCCTCTGGTGGCAGTGGAGACTCAGAGCAGAGCGCCTGCTTACTGCACCTCAAAGGTTAAAGGTGTTGCTAGAATGGAGACTGGGAATGACTGGCTTGAACCATACATAAATACACACCCTGAACTTAGCACATGTATCTGTACAAGGCAGAGGTTAGTAATTCAGCGGCACATATACTGTGCATAACTGCGTGCTGTGTTGGGGAATGGGTTCAACTAGTCATGGTTTAGTACACTAAAACTGTTTATTTAAAACAAATTTTTTCTTCCTGCGTAGTTGAAAATATCAATTGTCAGTTTGTAATGACAAAATACACTTTGAAAAAATAAAGAAATGTATACACATATATATATATATACATAGATGATAGATGGAAGGAAGTATAGGTGTAAATAAGGATAAGAAGATCCTTAAAAAATCCTTAAAGTTATAAAACAATTTATCTTCAGAAAAGCAGTTTTGAGAATTGATTGTGAAAGTTCATTCTTGACCTTGGAAATGGTACTATGACGAGAGAAAAAAAAATCTTCACTTAAGGTCCGCTTGCTAGGTTTGGACCACATCAGAAAAAGGCATTTCAATCACCCCCTATATACCTCTAATCCTGTGACCGGATCTCTGTACTTAGATCACATAATCATCACAACAACTGAGTCAATGCCATCTACTGAAGAAGACCATGAGAGTGTTTTAAAGCTCCAGAAAAAGCTAGTAAGTGGATCTTAAATTCAGATTTTTACGGTTTCCACATGTTAGCAGGGAGTGATTTAACAATATTAATGTTTTCTGAAAGGCACTGATGATGGCTTTTAAATTCCTTCACAAATTTCAGTGTGATTAATCCGCTTAATTTGCTTTGCAGCCGCATTTCAACATAGGTACATAACCTGATGAAGTTTCAGTGTGCCTTAGTCAAAGAACCTGATACTAATCAACATGCAAAAAACACAAACGTGTCCTTTTTCTATTATGAAAGTTTAAGCTGGACCATCATTTGAATCTTGCAGTACAAGGAGTACCTGCATGTTGGAATCACAGCTCCCTTTAATGGCTTTAATGTTATTAACAACGTCTGGAGGAATGCCATGAAGTGTACAGACAGTGCCCTCTTTATTTAAGCCTAAGTTCATTCTCTTTCTATCTTACCTGCCCCCTTCACCGATCATTCCTTCCCTGCATCATACCTATGATGTATGTGAAAGGTCGGAGGTCAGACCATGTCTAAGTGCAAACTCTTGTCTGACACTGATGTTTGTTAGAGGCTGCCCCAACTTTCATCAAAGAGGGAAACCTTCAAAGCCTCGTGTAAGACTGTCACTCGCTCTTTATTTCTGCTCAGAATATTGCAATAATGAGGGGATCCTGGCTTATTCACCCCTCAGTTCATTTTCGCATGATCAAAGGAGGAATGCAAAGAGATGTGGGTGGTTTTGCATTGCTCAGTAGTAGGTGATGATCTTACCTGAGCACCACATTGGTCGCCTCTGTTCTTCAAGAGACTCGAAGTGATCCAGATCCTTCGTCCAGTAGAGAGTCCAAAGGTCAGTGTGTCAGCCAGCATAAAGTAATAAAGTCAGAGGTCCTCTTAGAGTGGAATAAATAAAAGTGTGCTCACGTTACTGTGAAGAGATAAATAAAGTAGCACTGAGCGACATGAGCGCAGACCTCGCACCATTCAGCTGGAGAGTGGAGAGGGAAGTGCTCGGCACAGGCAGCCACATGCCCACTGTGAGGCTGCATCAAACAGCAGGCGGCTTGATGTTCAGCTCCTTCATCTTCCCCACGGTCTCTTTCTCTCTCTTTATCGTGCACTTTTTTTCCAGATCCCTTTTAATCCCTTTCTGTGTTTCTCTGTATTGTCTGTGTGTTTTCCCTTCATGCCGTCACCTCTTTCCTGGAAGTGAAGGAAACAAGTGCATGAGATTCCAGAGGCTAATTCTGCTTCTTAGGACGGGGGAACCTAATATGTGAGGACAACTGTGGAAGGAGGGAGATACAGGCAGAGAGAGAGAGAGAGTGTGTGTGTGAGGAAAAGGAGGGGCAGGACAGAGAGGAGGGGTCCCAGCAACGGATGGCAGATCATGGAAACAAGGATTGGAGTGTGTGTGTTGTTGTTGAGGAGGAGGAGGGTGGCAAGTCGTTGAAACTTGAGATGAAGAAAATGTTGACATGGTGAAGCAAAGGGAAATATGATTGGCGGATGAAACAGATGGCTTGCAGGAACATATGTTGCATCTTTTTTTTGGTTTGATTCGTAACAAGGGTTCCCACACAAATGGCTCTGCCCAACAGGTTTCTTTCTCAGATATGTTAAACAGTCTGTGGCTCTGATCAATAATAGACAAAAGTGCCTTAGTCACACAACTATTTAAACCACTCATTATATATCTGAGAAGAAAAATCACATGCACCTTTCTGATGTATGCACATTTGTGAGTTGATTGAAACCTGAATTACTTGTCAATCTTTCTGCTGGGTCATCATGTATACACTTTGGTCTTGGTCTTTCTTTTGGTGTTTTTATTCTGCAAAAATGTCAGAATGAGAAGAATTGTGTTTTTATACAAATTTTTGTGGTGAAAGAGGTTACAGCAAAATGGGGTTACATTATTACAAAAATATAACCTATGCCTAACCCAAGTAACACAACTTGAGTTACAAAGGTGCTCTAGAAATTCAACAATGCAAAACCACATTAGACACTAGGTTTGGACAATACTAATTTTTGGTTTTGGTTTATTGACAACATTCTAATTCATCATCATTCATTTTACTATCTTTATTTATGGCAGTATGGGGTTTTTGTTTGATTTTTGTGATGAATAATGATATTTAATTAGCTTGATATACCAGGAAACATACATTTCTGGTAATTTTATCCATGAACTGGTTCTCAAATGATTTCCCAGAAACTTTACTTATAACAGCATATACAGTACATCAGTATCGCAATCTTAAAGCTGCATTAGCCACTTGGGCCAAAAATGTGTATTAGCAAACAAAT